CATTCCCTGAAAATAAGACTTAGCGCATCTTTGGGAGCAAAAATTAATATAAGACACTGTCTTATTTTCGGGGAAACAGGGTAGAAAACTAAACTTCAGTTAATCTTCTCATGTTAGTTGATTTTAGCTAGGATTTTATGCACAATTGTCCAAAATATTTAATTCAAATAGACTTTTACTTACCCGCTAATATACAGATATGAACTGGGTTAGATGTTTAGAACATAACAGTAAGATTTAAATTTTGTTGATCAACAATCACTTTAGACGTCTTTCTCTGTGCCAAGCACACTATTCTAGACACCCAAATACTGCAGCAGCAGTGGCTTAAAAGAAAGAATATTAACTATCAATAAAAATAAGTCCAGCCCTGGCTAGTTTGGCTCACTGGATAGAGCTTTGGCCTACGGACTGATTTGGTTTGATTCCGATCAAGGGCATGTACCTTGGTTGTAGGCACAGCCCCAGTAGTAGGTGTGTAGGAGGCAGCTGATGGATATTTCTCTCTCATTAATGTTTCTGGCTCTCTATCCTTCTCCCTTCCTTTCCATAAAAAAAATCAAGTATATATTTTTTAAAAATAAGTCCGGAACCTCGATGGGCAGCTCACCTACGACCCAATGATCCAAATGGTTTCTGTCTTCACATTTCCTCTTCCTAATTTGGAATTTTCCCTTGGGCTTTTTGCTTTGTGGTCACAAAACACCTGTTTTCAGCTTTGGGTGGCGAGAAAGATCTCTTACTAGTACAATTCTCTTTTTTATCACAAAAACAACTTCTATCCTGAGGGTTCCCAACGGAATTCCCCTGAGATGGGTATTGACTATAGAACTTTCTGTGATGCTGAAACCGTTCCATCATGTGTACTGTCCAAAACAGTATCTTCAAGTAAGTATCGGAAGTGTGGCTAGTGTGCCTAAGGAGCTGATTTTTTCGTTTTACTTAATTGAAATGGAAATTAAAACACATGTTTTGCGTCTACCCTATTGGACAGTGCAGTTTTTGCTTCTTTTTGGCTAGAACTAGGTTACAGCCACCAATCCTTGGGAGGGAAGCTGGGGGCTAATTAGCTTTTTCAGTCGCCGAGGGAGAAAACGTTTAGGAATGGCCATTGGGCAGCATCCAACAGTGTCTGCCAGAAAAGGTAAACAAGGCAGAGTGCCATGGAGCTGGCATTGCAGTGGGGGAGGCCCACACCACAGAGATGTGCATACACTTAACAAGGTATCTGTCTTCAGGTCCAAACAAGTCATGTTATCCAAGCTCAGTCTAGGTAATTGGTCTAGATCAGTGGTCGGCGAACTCATTAGTCAACAGAGCCAACTATCTATAGGACAATGACTGAAATTTCTTTGGAGAGCCAAATTTTTTAAATGTAAACTTCTTCTAATGCCACTTCTTCAAAATAGACTTGCTCAGGCCATGGTATTTTGTGGAAGAGCCACACTCAAGGGGCCAAAGAGCTGCATGTAGCTCACAAGCCACAGTTTGCCGACCGCGGGTCTAGAGGCTAGAGTAACACAATAGGGGCTGTCTGAAGGTGGGAGGGAGTCATTTAAGCAGGGGGTTTGGCAAAGCCTCAGGAGCTCCAAGTCTGGTAGAGAGAAGGAAGAACACTAGCATATAAAAGAATATGTTCACATAGAGGGTGGCATATGTGCATATACACACACATTTATTGCATAGCTACTTAGGCACATAGTGAATACCATGTCTGTATTAGGAGGAAAAACAAAGAACCTCTGAGTGTTTCCCTGGGCGCTCCCACAAGCCTCACAAATATAGCAAGACGGGATCTGCCGTCTGGAGGCTTTGGACTGTGGCCCATCTGCCATCCCTGCAGCAACAGGTGACGCAATACAGCTTTACAGGACTGTGTACATGGAGAAGGTTAACCAGCAATTTCTCAAACATTTTCTCTAGGGTGTCGGACTGGGGCCCATCACAAACACAGAAAACCTTAGAAAGGACCTGCTAAGTCCTACAACTTCTAATGTTATAATGGCCTTGATGCCTGAGGGAAGAGCAGCAGCAGACAGACCTGCCCTGCAAGAGGCTGTCAGGGCTGGGTAGCTTAATTAAAGTGAGGAGTTTGGTGTGACACAGCCTAAGTGACAGTGAACTTCAGACCAGGTAGTCCTTGGAGAGCTTTGTACGCGTAGAAGGGACTGCTTGTCGTGCTTTATCGTGCCTTATGAGCCCACATTTGTACAGAATGTGGGTTGTGTGAATTCAAAGGGCTACAGTGCTGAAAGATACATTTCCTAAAGCCCTTTCCAGCTTAAACATACTACCTGTTGTGATTTATAATGATTTTTATTTTCAAAGAGTCTGAGTGAGTGATTTCTATGCAAGAGTGACTGAAATTACCCATGTTAAAAAAAAAAAAAACCCAACACATTTCCTTTGCAGTCACGGTAACACCTGAGATAGCTCTTTTTCTGATAATTCTGTATTTAGATAATTTTCTCACTTATGAAGTTGAATGATGCTATGTACCAAGTTGATGTTATCCTTTGGTAAACAAAGTTCAAAAGGGACATGCATGCTTATTTCAACTATAGGTTGAATAGACTTTGTGGAAATAGTCACAGATTCTAAGTTCACATGAAAATGTGTGGCCATGACAATAGAAACGTAGCTATTATAATTTCTGCATTGCTGAAATAGGAGGCTTTTATCTTTTTTTTTTTTGAGATTTTTATCTTCATAAAAAAAAATAGATGGTGTTAATGGTCTCCCACTTTTTCATCTATCCATCAGTACCCAGATCTACAACGTTCAACCTGGTAGCCACTAGGCACCTTGGCTATTTAGATTCAAATTTACATTCATTTTTAAAAAATTTCTTTATTGATTAAGGTATTAGATATGTGTTTTTATTCCCTCATTACCCCCATTACTCATTCTGCCCCCACCCACTGTTGTCTGTGTCCATTGACTAGGCTCATATGCATGCATATATGTCCTTTGGTTGATCTCTCCCCTTTACCCCCATCCTCCCTTACCTTCCCTCTAAGGTTTGACAGTCTGATTGATGCTTCTCTGTCTCTGGATCCGTTTTTGTTCATCAGTTTATGTTGTTCACTATATTCCACCATGTGATATGTTTCTTTCTCTGTATGGATTATTTTTATTTAGCATAATGCTCTCCCAGTTTCATCCAGGCTGTTGCAAATGGTAAGAACTCTTTTTACTGCAGTGTAGTATTCCACTGTGTAGATGTACCACTGTTTTTTAATCCACTCATCTGGTGATGTGCACTTTCATGAAAATCAAAGAAAATGAGAAGTTATCTTCTTACCTCACTCAAGCTTCCTTTGCAGTGTTAGACAGACACTCCTAGTCACCTTCTTGGACAGCACTGACCATTGACCTACAATTTTATCACAGGACATACAATTAGCGAGGACACTGTTAGGTTTACACAGTACCTAGCTGAATCTTAAAAATGTTGGTCCGATGAAGTGCTTTTTAAAGTTAATGCCTTAGTGTATATTAAATGAACACCCTTACTCCTAGCAGGAAAGTTCTAGTCATATAAACAGGTTCCTGGGAGTTGGTCCCTTAGGTGAACTTTGTAGGGGCCTTAGGTAGTATGAGTCTTGAACCCTACTCCCACCAGGGGAGAAAAGCCCCGCCCTGGGCTCTGCATTTCTGAGGGCAGCATCCTACCTCTCCTTCCCAAGGGGTGAAACATCTCCAGGGCCAAGAAACATGGACTTCAAGAGCCTCTGTTCCCTTCCTACCTCTAGACCTTGTCCAAGGTACCCAGGACTCTGCACACATACCTGAGCTAGCAGGCTGTTACGAAGGAGAAGAGAATAAACATGGTGTTCCACCAAAACGTATACACACTTTAACAGCGCGTAGCTTAATTTTGAAAATGTATTTTATATTTTAATAAACACTTTCTAATTATTCAAAGTGTGCGGGTATATATTTGTGGAGAACATCCTATATTTTACTTGTTCGTTTCATGCACTCCTTGTAAATATTTAAACACAGGGTAGGTGAGCCTTGGTCTGCAAATGATGAGGCGGGTCAGGCAGCTGGGGTTGCTAGGCCAGTTTGCTCACACTATTAAGCTAACTGACCTCATCTGACATCCAGAGACCTGTATGGGAAATTCCTCTCGGGGAGCTGCTGCTCCAGGGAGGGAGGCCCCATGCACCCTTAGCAGGGACCAAAGCCAGAGCTGCTGAAGGCCAGGACAGGAGAGCGCGCACTGTCCCGGCGGGGAACCTGTTGTATTGGGGACAAATGAGACTACTTACTGGGTGGCAAGAGAAGGCTTGGAACCCCTGCCCAGGGAGGGAGGTGGGAAGGCGATTCCTTTGGAGAGAGCTGGTTTGGGACACTTTTCTTGGGAGACTGAGCCCCGCCCTGCGCCCTCGCTGCGGCCAGGCCCCCGCTCCAGGGGCTTTAAGGGGTGGCTTCGTCCGGAGGCGGCGATGGGGAGGGGAGCGGGAAAAGGTGCAACCCCCACCTCCCTGGCTGGAGTTTGGATCAGAACTTTCTCCACGAGTTCCCGTGCTCCCGCGGGGGCCCCCACCACTCCTGCCCGGAGGCCGCGGTGGGGTCCGGGCCTCGGGGCCCCGGGGCGGGGCCGGGAGCGCGCGGCTTCCCGGAGCCGCGGGCGGCGGGCGGCGGGGAGAGGCGGGGACGGGGAGGCGGCGGAGGAGGCGGCGGCGGGGCGGGGCGGGGCGCCACGGGCAGCGGCCGGGGTTGGAGGCGGTGGCGGCAACGTTGGAGGAAGCGGAGCTCCCGCCGCCGGGCTGTGAAGCGGCGCCGGGATCCGCGCTGCTGCCCTGACCCCGCGGCTCCCGGAGGCCGATCGCGGCCGCAGCGGACAAAGGAGCATGCGGGCGCCGAGGGGGGCCCGTCCTCCGGCCGCCACGAGGCTCCGGGCGCCGCTCGGCCCCGCGATCCCGGGCGCCGCCGGGCCCCGCTAGGCCAGCGCTGCCCGCCCGCTCGGTCCCCAGGCCCCGGCCTGCAGCATGGAGCCGCCCGGGCGCCGGCGGGGCCGCCCTCCTCCTCCTCCTCCTCCGCCGCCGCCTCCGCCGCCGCTGCTGCTGCCGATCGCGCTACTGGCGCTGCTGGGAGGCGGCCGCGGCGCCGCGGCGCTGCCCCCGGGCTGCAAGCACGACGGGCGGCCGCGAGTGGCCAGCCGGGCGCCGGGGGCCGCGGAGGGCAAGGTGGTGTGCAGCAGCCTGGAGCTCGCGCAGGTCCTGCCCCCGGACACGCTGCCCAACCGCACGGTCACCCTGTGAGTAGCCCCGGCTCCCCGGCCCGCCCTCCCGTGCTTTCTGCTCTGCGCGCAGCTTGGGAGCGGGGACCTGCCCGCACCGCGCGCCTTTGTGTGGACGGAGCTGCAGCGGGGGGTGCCACGGGGCGGAGGGCTCGGCCGGGACACCGATCGGGAGGGAGGCTGGAGCCTCTGCCCCCGCCTCTGAGCCGGCTTCTGGCCCCGCTAAGTTTGCAAAGTTAAAGTTTTCAGGGTCCCAGGCGCGCCCCGCGCGGTTGGGGCGCAGCGGTCCCATCGCGGTGCCACGTGAGGATGCGAGTAAACACGCCGCTGGCAGAGTTGCCGCTCATTCATCCTGGGCTTGGGCTTCCCGAAAACCAAGCTGGATTCCCAGAGCCAGCCCTTTGCTCTGTGCACACGTTACACTCAGATACTAGTTTTCAATATCAATATCAAAACAGTATCAAAACTCCCAACTCAGGACGCCCAGACAATTGCATTGCCTTTTGCTGCCTGCGTTTTTGTTAGAGTGGAAGAGCACCTTTTACAGCTGAGTTGTTAGGAAGGGCTAGAAATATATTTGAAATGAAGTCTTGCCATGGCCAGCCCCGTTTTGGGGTGTGTGTGTGTGTGTGTGAGAGAGAGAGAGAGAGAGAGCTCAGATTTAAAAGCCGAGAACTTTGGGTTTGAACACTGTGGGTTTGTTCAGCCTTCCAACTGGAGGGATCGGTTTTCGGATTGAGTTGCCACCTGGAAGGAGAAGTGTTTGGTCTCCTGACTGAGGTAGTGTGTGCCGAGATGCACGGTCCAGTGGTGCAGGCGTGGCTCTGCGGGTTCCAGGGGAACAGTCCTCTGGATTGTGTTTTCCAAACCGTGAATAGGTTTGGGAAAGCTTTCAAGTGTTCCCAAGGGATCTTTTATGGGAGGGAAATAGGAGTTTTCTCGGCTCTGTGTCCCCCTATATGGTTTCCCATGATCTTTTGAAAACAAAACAAAAAAACCCCAAACCAAAGCTGCCACTATAAAAACATCAGGCCAGGGGAACAGCATGACCATGAAAAACTTAAACTTTGGTTTTTAATTTAACCCAAATTCAGTGGAATAGGTAAGATAAGTATAAATTGCATCACAAACACCTTTGGTCTTCATTTCTGTTTGTTTGGATTAGGAAAGGTTTAACAATGATAAGGGTGTGTGTGTGTGTGTGTGTGTGTGTGTGTTTATGGAGGCATAAAAGTGGGCAAAATAGTTTTTGTTTTGCTTGACTTCTCTACCAGCACTTGACCATTTGGTAGTGGCAGCAGCTGTATTTATTTCTGAGCCCTGTTCTTTGAAATGGAAATTTTGGGGGGTACGGGACCTTAATTACAGTCTCAAGCCAACTGGAGAAAACCCCAGTCATCCTACATTTGTGTTGTGGATCAGTGTTACTTAAGCTGATTTGAGTTTAAGTCCAGTTTTCCTGAAATTTCAGTAGTTCCAGCTGGAATGATTTGCTACTTGTGAATTGTTGATTTTGCTTTGCGGAAAGAAAAAAAAAAAGACAGTGTTGTAGAAAATCACTTTGCATCATAGTATCAGTTCAGCTGTTTCATTGAATTTCTTATGAACTGTTGAAAATATAAGTACCTTTCAAATGTCATTTTAATTAAAAAAAAAAGTGTTTTTTACACCTGAAAGTTCTTTAGATGAAATTGAAATTTATACAAATTTTTAGTGAAAATGGTAATAACTTGTAATTTATTTAAGGATCAAATAAAGCGCATGTTCTGGATGAAGTTGGTTCAAGGTGTTCTGGAGCTGGTAGGAGGTGTTTTGGGCCAGTTCTTTTATTTCCACTAGGCCAGTAGTCGGCATACCGTTGCTGGCGAGCCACATGCAGCTCTTTGGCCCCTTGAGTGTGGCTCTTCCACAAAATACCACGGCCTGGGTGAGTCTATTTTGAAGAAGTGGCGTTAGAAGAAGTTAAAGTTTTAAAAATTTGGCTCTCTAAAGAAATTTCAATCGTTGTACTGTTGATATTTGGCTCTGTTGACTAATGAGTTTGCTGACCACTGCACCAGGCAATCAGAGGGTAGCTGTGGATAACTCACTTGCCCAGGTGATCACAGTGAATGAACATTGTGGTGGAGGTTATGTCTCAGGTGCTCCTCCTGCAGCTCCCAGGCTTCTTGTCTTCCTCCCTTTGCCTTCATTTTCCTTCTGAGTGAAGTAGTTCTTGTTGAGTGGTTCCTGGGGCAGCAGTCATCATGATGAGATTGGGACTCGGTGTTAGTTTCCCAGTTGGGCGCTGGTAAAGTACCCAGACTCCTAGCTTAAAATAAATTTCTTATCATGGTTCTGGAGGCTCAAAGTCGGAAAGCAAGGTGTCAGCAGGGCCACGATCCTTCCAAAACCCCTGTGAGGATCCTTGCTTCTTCTAGCTCCACACCCTCCTTGGATTCCGGCAAATCCACCCCCATCTCCTCCTCTGTCTCCAGGCGGCCTTCTTCCCTCTCTGTCCCAAATATGCTCCTTTCTCTTATAAGGCCACCAGTTACTGAATTCAAGGTCCATGCTAAGACCAGGATGATCTCATCTCAAGATTCAGAACGTAGTTACATCTGCAAAGACTCTGTCTCCAAATGAGGTCACTTTCGAAGGTACCAGAGTCAGGACATTTTGGTGTACGCCATTACAAGTCAGCGAGAATAGAAACATCAACATAGTCTTTCTTCACCAGGAACTCGGGGAGGTATTTGGGGAGAAAGACTCATGAAGAAGTCTCAGAACATAGGGTAAATGTTCTGTTGAGGTGCACATGGAGCAAAAGAAATCCAGGGCAGGGCAGGGCAGCCAAGTCCTCCTTGTGGGATGGGATGGAGCCATGGTCAGCAAACTGCGGCTCTTTGGCCCATTGGTTGAGTGTGGCTCTTCCGCAAAATACCACGGCCTGGGCCAGGCTACTTTGAAGAGGTGGCGTTAGAATAAGATGACCAGACGTCCCGCTTTTGGTGGGACAGTCCCTATTTTTAACAATTTGTCCCGCGTCCCATGGATTTATCGGGACTTTTTAAAACACCATGGGATGCGGGACAAATTGTTAAAAATAGGGACTGTCCCGCCAAAAGCAGGACGTCTGGTCACCTTACGTTAGAAGTTTAAGTTTAAAAAATTTGTCTCTCTAAAGAAATTTCAATTGTTAACCTGTTGATATTTGGCTCTATTGACTTATGAGTTTGCGGACCACTGGGATGGAGGATTTGAGGATCCTGATCCAATCTAAGGAAGATGAGAAAGACAATGGTAGAGGAAATTGTGAGGGGAGGAAATGAGGGCATGGAAGGTTGGGGACCCCAGCATGCCCACCTGCTGGGAGAGAGCATGTGATGCTATGGATGCTGTGCCTTTGATGTTGCTGGTGTGTCAGTGGCAGGTGTCCACTGCCCCCTGGTCAGAGGGGAGGCCAGAGGGTCCAGTGAGAGAACAGGTCGGCTCTCTGGTTCCTGTTTTATTCTCTTAGTTGTGGCCAGCTGTTTTCAGTGGAACATGGGTGGGAATTGAGAGGATGGCAAGGATAAGATAGAATTAATTTATGTATTTTCATAATGAAAAAAATAAGACTCCACTTGCCAAGAGTGGATGAACTGGACTTAAACGTAGCCCGAAGTGCAGTCTTTTCAACTGTCTTCGTGAACAGCACGGGCTCCTAAAGCCACACTCACAGAGAGTTCTAGCAGGAATTCTTGGCATGAACACACTTGCTCTCTGTCTCTTGTGCAGCCTTCTGGATTAAAGGATTAAATTGCGTTCATTATTTTTGCGCACATGTTGAATACAAACGTAACCACGCTGCCTTGATCGTTTTTGTTAGGCATACTGTAAAATTGTTAGATGTCCATGTTTTATGTGAGATGCTGCTCAGTTCTTTTCAGTCTTAAAAGTTCTGAGGGCCTAAACCGGTTTGGCTCAGTGGAGAGAGCGTCAGTCTGTGACTGAAAGGTCCCGGGTTCGATTCCAGTCAAGGGCATGCACCTTGGTTGCGGGCACATCCCCGTGAGGGGTGTACAAGAGGCAGCTGATTGATGATTCTCTTTCATCGATGTTTCTAACTCTCTATCTCTCTCTCTTCTTCTCTGTAAAAAATCAATAAAATATATTTTTTTAAAAAAAGTTCTGAGTAATTCAGTGATACAAGGTTGTACACACTCAATGCTTGCTTTTCCAAATGGGAAGTTCTTTCTCAGGATGTTGCATGGTGATTGTGGACAAAGGATTTAACAGAAATTACTTATGATTTGTCAGGTAACTTAGGGACAAAGTCCAGGTTTTGTTTTTTTTAACAGACTAAAATAAAATAGTGTATGAGTGTTGCTGTTGACTTGATAATATGTTATGTTTGTTTTCTATCAAAAAATGGGTCATTGGACATCACTGGTGTGTCCTGCTGGGTGCCAGGGATACAAAAGGAATGCTTGTATCATTGAGAAAGGTAACCCAGGTGGGGAACAAGGATTTGCACGGAAGAAGAAGAAGAAGAAGGCATTTAGGGAACAATTACGGATGGCCTGTCATTAACTAATAAATCCTGTTGTGCTGTCTGTTTCAGCTCAGAAGAGGAGAGACTGTGAAGGTGAGGGAGAGCTTTTATTTTTCTGAAGTTAGGACTTGAGCATGGCCTGGGGGGAAGGAACTAAGGGATTGAATTGTGGGGAGAGACATTCCCCACAGTGAGGGGAGGTGACTAGCCCTATGGAAGTGGAAGGATGGTTTCTGGCACTGTTGGCCATACATGGCATTAAAAGCTGGGTCTGGGAGGGTCACTTAGGGACGAGTATGCAGCAGGGAGGAAGAGGTGGCACCACACAAGCAGTGGAGGTGGGAGGCAACCCAAAAGAAGCTGAGGCTTGAAGAGAAGGATGGGCACCCCGTTGAGAGATCCAGAGAGGTAAGAACAAGGCTTTCGCCACTGAGACTGACAGCCTGGAGCCTGGGGCCCTCCATGGTCCGGATTCATGGACCAGAGGCCAGCAGAGATAGTT